AAGTAAGAGAAATTAATTTTAGTGTGAGAACCACTTGTTCCCAAAAGCTGTGAAGCTAAAAATATGCTAAAAAATACCAGGGATCTAATTGAGAAAAGATAATGACTAAATGTGAACATTGGGTCAGTACAGATTTCTTTTGAGAATTGTTTTCCTCAGGAACTCAGTACTTGAAGATGTAAATGAAGGATGTAAGTTGTATTTTAATCTGATTTCTTGATGATTTCTGTCACAGTTCTTGTGACATGGAAATAAAATGCTTCTCACTCCTTTTCAAGTCTACAGAGTCTGTCTGTGAAGTTGAAGCTCTAATGGAGAAAATGAAGCAGCTACAGGAGTGTAGAGATGAAGAGGAAGCCAGCCAGGAAGAGATGGCTACGCGTTTTGAAAGGGAGAAGAGAGAGAGCATGTTCGTCTGTTCTTCAGGTAGAACAGCTGTAGTGTGTGTGTGTGTATGTACTTTCCCAAATCACTTGAAGAAATACTACCACAAAAGGGGGGGGGGGGGGGGAATTAAATGTGTCAAAATCACCACTATTTCTTTGAAGGGATGAAGGTTGGGGGTGCCTTGTTTTCTTTCAAGAATGCCTCAGAGCAAAGCAGTGCCAAGATTTTTGGCCTCTCTCAAAACCACCGTAACACCCACTGGCCAATACTATGTTTAATAGAAATTTCCAACAGAAATAGAATCTTGAGAGAGAGAGAGAGAGATTGCAGGGGATTTAAACATATCACAAGACATTGTAAAAAGAAGCCCTTACAAACAAGCAGCTATCAGAGCATGTGAAAGGTTGCTTTCCAGACAACTGTGAGACAGTACTTAATCTCTCACAAGTTTAGGGTTGTTCAGTCTTCAACAGTTGCCTCTGAAATAAACTTGGTGTGGAAGTCTTAGAGGTCTCTGTTTTGGAACAAGAGCTTAATAAAACAGATTTTCCCTTGACATTTTCACAGACCTCTTGAGCTAGGAGCAAAGCGTCCCCTAGACACAGGGGACAGGATGAAGAATGGCAGACAGAAGAAGGGGGAAAGAGGTGTTTGTCTGTAAGAAAGAATCAGTGTTTTTCCTGGAGTTGCCTCTAAAACCCAGAGCTGCAGTGACACTGAGCTGTAACAAAAGCTTTTAATACAGGTAGTCCAGGGAAACTGTGAGTTTAGTTAAAAAGCACAGAGACACCCATTCTTCTGCAAGAGTTCTGCTAGTACACGTCCAGTCTGTTCTTACTGAAATTGTGTGAAATTCTGTTTGAATTGACAGAAGATGAAGAATCAGCACCTGCAAGAGACGTGTCTCGCCACTTTGAGGACACCAGCTATGGTTACAAAGACTTCTCCAGACACGGGATGCACGTGCCCACCTTTCGTGTTCAGGTAACAAGGCTGGGGGTTGCTCTCAGGAGGCTTAGGGTACTATCAGTTTGTTGTGCCAGATGCCAAACCTGGACATTGCTAGGCTGTAACTTAGCGCCCCACGGATGCAAAGGCCCGAAGCAAGCAAATGAACACCCCCCATAGATCACCTGCCCCAAGATAAATCGCAGTAAAGCGCTGGGTGTGCGCAAGTTAATTCCTGAAATGCTCCATTCTCCATTTTTACTTATTCTAAGGATTATTCCTGGGAAGACCACGGCTATTCCTTGGTTAATCGTCTTTACCCAGATGTGGGACAACTACTTGATGAGAAGTTTCACATTGCTTATAATCTGACTTACAACACCATGGCCATGCACAAAGATGTGGATACCTCAATGCTACGACGAGCTATTTGGAACTATATTCATTGTATGTTTGGAATAAGGTCAGTTTTACTGCTTTTGTTCTAAGCAAACACATCAGACTTGTTAGCGCTGGCCTTTTGTTCTTTATCAGATTGAAGCAAAGTTATTTATAGCAAAGATGCAGGTATTTTTAAACATAATTTTGTCTGTGGGAGAGGGACAGAGGTACAAATTACACAGTAATTTATTTTGCCATAGGAACTTAAAACCACTGCAAGTGAAATAACTTGGCCTCGAAAATGAAAGTGTTTTTCTTTCTTTCTGAACAGATACGATGATTATGACTACGGTGAAATTAATCAGTTGTTGGACCGCAGCTTTAAAGTTTATATCAAGACTGTGGTTTGCACTCCTGAAAAGACCACAAAAAGAATGTATGATAGCTTCTGGAGGCAGTTTGAACACTCTGAGAAGGTACGGTTTGCATATGGGCCATAGGTCCACTTGCTACACTTAACAGCCACAGCCACCCAAGTAGCATTGAGGCTTTTAGCTGGTGTTAATGGGATTCTGCTCACATCCAGTAAATTCTTCAGGAGCTATAGTACTTCCTAGGCCGAAATAATTTATTTCCTACTGCATGTTTGCTAGCGAACAGCTGACACAGACTGCACAAGCTCTGAACTGTATGGGAGGATAAACATGTTAAAGTGGCACAGCGTTCCCCTTGGCTGTTGGCTGGCAGCTCCTGTGCCCCAGAGAGGCTGCAAGGTGATGTGAGGCTCTCAGACCCAGAGCAGCCACCATCCTGCCCCAGGGTCCTTGCAGTCCAATGGTTGTTTTTAGTCTGAATGGCCCCAAGCTGTTACTTCATGTTAAAGCCTAAAGTCCTGCTGCTGGGTTACAGTCTGAATTGTACCTCCCAGAAATATGTTGTGCTGTTAACTCTTGGACATCAGCTCCATCAAGTTCATATCCTCCAGCTCTTCTTTGGAAGAAAAGCCCCACTTAAAAATGAATGCTGATAAGTGCTGAGACATACATGTGCCTTAATCAGTGCTCATATCATTGGAGGCTCTATTTCTTGCTAAACTTGTGAAAATAGTTTAGAGGTACCTGGTAGTAATAGGGTATTATAACCACGCTGATTTAAGGTTGTTCAAGTGAAATACTATACGTTTGCTTTGGTTAGACTGAAAGCTTTTCAAGCACACAAATCCGTGTTTAAAGCCCCAAACTTTGGAAAGCCATCAAAATCCAAAGATCATACATGTACATGTCACTGAATGCCATCACCATCCATCCTCATGGAAGGCAGCACACGCAGCCATTCCATGCCACAACAAACTCACAGCTGACCTGCTGTCAGCGAGACAGTATTCTTCACCTTCTTCCCCACATGGTTTCTGATCTCATCCTCAAAGAAATACAGTAAAGACATGGAGGAGATGAGCTGGGGAACTTACCTCCAACAGCTGCTGTCTCAATAAAGACAATAATTTTATGGCATGTTATCTTGTGCTTCAACTCAGCTCACCACTCCATCCTGTTCAGGTGATAATTACCTGTGTGTTTCTCTCTGTCCCACAGGGGCAAACGACCTTACCACCTCCTCCTTTGTTAACAACCCCCTCTGCTCCACAGGTACCAACTACCCTTTTGCCTATAACTGATTAACTTTTTAGCTAAATTTGAACAATTATTTCCAAGCTGTGCACAATCTGCTGCTGCAGAAGGGCTTGTGTGTTTGAAAGCTGCTCTGTTCTTTCCAGCTAAACCAGTTGGTCTGTTAAAGGGGACTGCCTCTTCCTGTGACCCTGCCTCGCTTAAGGGTCTCTGTGACCCGATACAGAAACGTTTGCTCGGTCTTTGCTCCCTCAGCAAGCTTTACAGATAGAACTAATCTGGGTAGCCAAAACACAAAGTGCTGCCCCACTGCTGCTGCTAATAGGAAACCCACAGCCCCAAAGCCGTCCTTTCACTGTGAGCACACCGTTAAAGTGCAGCTTGTTTTCTTTCCTAAAGGTCCATGTAAATTTGCTTCTGGTAGAAGCTCGGATGCAAGCCGAACTACTTTATGCTCTGAGAGCTATTACTCGCTATATGACCTGATATCTCCGGCTGCCTGTTGATGTTGGAATGTTCTGCAGCTGCAGCGTGGTGGAGGAAGATATGAAGCCTCAGGACCAATGGTAGCTCTAAGTTATGAAGCCCATTGTGCCATAACTCCTTTAGTTTCAGCTATTTCCGTGTTTGGAATATCACTGCTGCTGCTCGGCAGTGAACGCTTGGCAGTTGAAAAAACAGGGGTGTGTGGCAGTGCTGCCTGCTCCTGATATTTTGGCTTTAGACAGCACAGGACTCCCTGTGAACTTGTGGCAATATAGCAAACGATAGATGCATAGATCTTGTGTTAAGGCAAATACAGTGGGAGTTGGAGCGTGAACAAAGTGGGACTTGATGACATTTGCTTTCCCTATGAGAATAATTTTAGAAAAATCTTGATGCTGCTATTTGTGCTGGTGAAGTGAACAGCCCCGGGCTGTTCCAGTTAAGCTACAAGTGAAAGTGAGCACTGCTATTGTCTGAGCCTTTGTTGTGTGTGGTTTCAAAAAGCCTTGTTATTTAGATTTCTTCTTTAATCAGAACGAAACCTCTTCTGTCCACACTGATCATTTGAAAGACAGCAGTCAGTTTTCTCAAATGGTTTAGCCTTAAAGTGCTAAGGGACAGCTGCCCAGCATAATGTGGTGAGCTCCAAAGTGCAATGGGCTTCCTGTGGGAAGCAGGGGACTCGTGTCCTCAGAGCTCTCTCGAGATGGAACTGCGCTAAGTGTCGAGTGGCTCCTCATCCTGTTTGTCAAGGATGAACCAAGGAGGAGCTAGGACAGGTGTGGGAATGTGTTCTAGGCTGCCAAACAGTCCTAATGTATTATGTGCCCAATGCTGGTCTTACTGATTTTTGCAGTTGCTTAAATAACTAGGCTAAACCCATCTATTTTTAGCAAATCAAAACATGATTACAATGCTGACGTTTAATACACCGTGGGTTTTGGAGAACACATGAATACTTTTGTATGAGTGTGAATTGCTTTTTAAATTTGTCAGTATTACTGGTATTTTTTAAATAAAGGTAACAACTTTTTCTCCTGGCGTTTCTGCGTGGTTGAACTTTGCACTTCCGTTCTTGCTGGTATGCTCAGAAACTGTTCAGAGTCATTGTAAACTGTTGGTAACTGAGGAAACATACTGAAAATGGCAAAAGGATATTTTTTGCAGTTGAGTCTAAAATGATGGGAGAAAACCCAGTTTAAAAAGAACATAATTTCAGTGAAGACCTAAATCTATACTATAGTGTTTCCATGCTTCCTATAGTCCTCCACCCTGTGTAGAGGAATACTCTGTCATACTGGGTTTTCTCTTTCCTCCCAGGTAATGGGCAGAGCTTACATCTGTATATTTATATAGTCACTTATTTTCAATAACCAGCTCTAAATACTATTTTAAGAATTGAATTAAAGTGATTTTAAAATCCTCTTGTAGTGAACTTAGCTCCATCTTTGGCTGCTGATTTCCATAGCCTGGTGCCAGAAGGGCATCTGCCATTGGAAGGACAACCAGGTCTGCACAGCTAGACTGAGGATTTTATGGCAAGAGGTAACAGGCAGCAGGAGGAGGGTTTGCCACAAGTGAGTGACAAAGCCTTTTGGACACACTCCTACTGCTGGCTGTGATGGGGATTACCCTCTAAGTGTAGAAACCCCACCTGCTTACAGTAAGGAGTGTTATCCATAGGGCAGGAAAGAAACAGATTTTCCCAAGTCCACCAGCAGAATGAAATTAAGATTCCTGTCCCTTGGCCTGCTTCTCAGTGAGCTCAGACTGGTTGCTCTGAATACAGAACATTCTGAGAACAGTTTTAAGTTTACAGTCCAAGAAGCTAAAATATCTAAAAAGATCTAGGGGAGAAAGATTAATAAACTGTCAAAAAATGTGACTAACAGGAAGCATCTGCTGTTTCCTCTTAACTAAAAATACAGGATTTTTAATGTTCCACAGCCAGAGCAAAACTTTCCTGTGTAAGGCCACAGCATAAAGCTAAGCTCTGCCTGCCTAAGGACACAGTGTCTCTCCAGTCTGTAGGTGGAGTTTCTGAAGCACCTGATTCTCCGGTTGCTTTTTGGGGGTGGTCAAAGGTTGACAGGAAATTTTCTGAGAAGCCTGAACTGGCTGTTTCTGTCCTGTGCTATCCAGGCAAATGCAGGTACCTGCAGACACACTCTGCCTTCTCAAGCAGCGAACACTGCAGCATGTGTGTGCCAGTGGCTTCATACGGTCACATTTTCAACCGCAGCAGTAACCACAACCTGCAGCCAACCCTAACTACACACCATGCTACTTACTTTGGAGAAGGGGCCTGAAGATGGTTGGGCATTTTCCATGCTGAGGCATTTGTGGTGCTAAGCAAAAGAGACCAAGCCAAAGTTGTTAAGTACAGTGGCAACCAAAGTCAGTGGGGTTAGTCTTTAAACAAGAAAGGGTTGAGTTGCCAGATGCTTCATGAGTGGTGATCACTGCAGACAGCAGCAGCTGTGTGTGACAGAAGGGCAGGAGGGAGAAGCCACAGCACTGCTTTGGCCACTGGTGTGGGCTGCCCTCCCCTGCAGGCTATAAGCCCTGATGACTACCAAGCAGCTCTTACAGAGCCTCTGCACCACTCCCAAAACCAGGACCATGAAATCTCTCCTCCCCTGTCCCATCAACAGCAAAGAAGTCCCTGAGAAGCAGGGATCTAAGCTACGAAGAAAGTTTCCCTGCCCTTCTACCACAGCTGTGTTTCCCAGCCTCCTTGCTTCATCTCCTCACCTGGAAGCAGAGCAATGTCAAAGGTACAGCAGTGCCACTGAGGGAGCTCCAAATCACTGCCTCAAACCAATTCCTCCAGCCTCTCTGAGGGGATTGCCAGGGGAAGACTTGCACTCCTGACACACACAGCACAACACGAGGCTGCTGACCCTCAGGATCACAGCCAGGAGCCCAGCAGCCCCTGCTCAGTGGTTTGTTCTTAGTGATCTGCGGTCAGAAAAGAGGCAAATGGGTCAGATCTGTGAAGCTTTCTCTAGCCAGTCAGGCTGTTAATGCTTGAGGCCAGTGATGCACTTGCTGAGCAACACAATTACACAAGCAACAAGCAGGGACTTCTACACTCTGAAAGGGTGAAAACTGAGCAGTAAGACAGCATCAGTCAGAAGGACCGTGAAGGATGCAAAGCCTTTTCGTGCCCTGTGGATGGAAACAAGCCCAGGCGAGATGACTGGCCAAGACAGTCTGACCAGTACAGGCACACAGGCCTGGGAAAGTGGGAACAGCTGAAAGAGCAACACACCAGACTACCTAAAAATCCCCACTTACATCAAGGATAGGGGTGTTTTGCCTTAAGACTTGAAGTCCCAATTCAGAAAAACCTCTTTCCAACACAGCTGGACCTACATCCCACAAACACCAAGGCAGGAGCTAAGATACCCGAGCCACACGGTATCAGGTAGAGAAAGGGGGATTTTGCAAAAAAAAGGAAGCAGCTTTCCCCCTGCCCATGGATAGCACTTGATCTGGAGAATGAAGCTCAGGATTTAAGAGCAGAGTGCCCCAATAGCATTTGGGTTACTCTTGCTGGAGAATTCATAGAAAGTAAAAATGTGTCAAAGCCTGTAGGCAAGCTGCGATTCCAAGCACGTAACACGCTTTTACAGTGCACAGCATTTTTGGTACCACAGAGGCCCACTGGTACCGCTCAGTGGTAATTTACCTTTTAAAAATGAAACGTTCAGCAAATAGTTTCATTTCATTTTCCCAGCCAAGAAACTATGCAATTAATAGATCACACTGAACAGCTGCTTCATCAGCTTAAATACCTTGTAGAAAGTAATTACACATGCAAAAACTGGATGCAAGCTTCTCAACAGGTAGGATCCAGTATATAAATGCCAGGCTTTACTGACTTCTTAAAAATTAAATTGCTACGCTCTCCAACACACTTACCAATGGCAAAGTACAGGTATATTAGAAATGTAAAGCTGGTCAACCTATAGCACCAAAAAAAATATGACTGATTAAAATGGAGTAATAGCCAGTCACAGCTGGAAGGACTGATGATTCTGAATTCTATCAAGAAGTTTTTCTGCCACAGGCTTGAACTCTCTTTCCCAATACAGTTTGTGGTAGTCCCTTACATCTCCGTCGAGGCTGTAATCCAGCGCTAGTTCTGCATCTGTAATCAAAGAAAATAACCATCAGCAGTTCTGAGTAAAAATATACCCAACTATGTATTTTATGGCCACAGCACATACAACTTAGCATTTCTGTTACGTTGGTGGATTCAAGACAACTCCATGTGGAAGACAAACTAAGCATCACTATCTGAGGGACTTGATTTAAAGGATGCTAAGGTCAGTAACACGCTAAAAAGGAGACTGCAAGTTCTTATTATTCTCACACCTCACAGGTGTGGCTAAACTGTATCCCCAAGATCAAGCATTTACTGTGGCTGTCAGCCTGGAAACTACCGGAGTTTTAACATCACCCACAGCAATTTTGCTAATGTAAGCGATCAGTTCATCTGACTACAACTATGTTTTTCTTATCACAAATTGCTCTGCTAATCTGGTTTATTAAGGCTTTGAAATTGTATTTACTATTAGACTTAAAAAACCACACTGGTTACTGTATCACTGATGCCCTCTCTTCCTCACAACCTTCATAATTAAAGTAGTAGGATACTCTTAAGGGATAAGCCATGTTAGGAATGACAGGAGGTCATCACTCATTATTCCACATCCATTTCACCTGGTATTGGATGAAACACAGAAACAAACCCTTACTGAAAAGAAGAAACCAGTCGGCAACCCGGAGCTTGCTCCTGACTGATAACGCTGAACAAATGTTTTAGGAGAAGGCTATTTGACAACCTTAAGGCCATAAATGTACCTAAAATGAAGATACAACCCTCCACCCAAGGGGCAGTGTGACTTACCTTTGTTCTAGACTGTGAATCTGTTCAAGAAATAATGCTGTAAAGGGAGCTCACTGCACACTGAGAGCAGGTAAAAGACAATTCTGAAGATAAAATATGGGAATCTTCAGCTCCAAGTTTAAGTCAAACTTTGTGTAGAAGACAGATGCTCAAACAGCAATTATCCCCATTTAAGCAAATGCCAAGGTGCCTATGCAGAGCACATGGCCTGAGCTGCCACAGCTATGAAGGAAGAAATGATGTTACTTTGGCATAGAGATGGGCTCCATTCCACAGACAGTTACCAGTAACTGCAAACAATACATGACTTCTATGCCACTACAGTGTTTCTAAATGAACAAAATTAAAGAGATGCTGATTGTGAGGTAGGTTCCAAAAGGGGTTCTGCATAAGGAGAAGATGCCATATAGAGGATTTCTGTGAAAAAGAGGCAAAAAAAAGTATTTCAAGAAAGAAGACATGTCTTACCTCTGCAGGAAGAAACCCTGTAATCAGAGATAAAATCCAACCTCAGATATGAAATCTATATTTGATATATCATAGGTCCTGTCCAACCCAAATTATCCTCTGTAGCAGAGCCACCATAGATCAGGTTGCTCTGGTCTACGTACTGTTGAGTACTGAGTAACCTCTGAGGACGAAGATTCCACAGCCTTTCGGGGCAGCAAGTAACAGTGCTTGGCCCCTGCCATGGTGGAAACTTCTTTTTGCTAATATTTAATTGGAATTTTTCTTATTGCAACTTGTGCTCCAGTACCTCTTGTCCCATTTAATGGCACTACCCAACATACCTAAAATGAATCTCAGCAGCAGAGAAGTGAGAGGAAGAAGAGGAAGATAAAGGATTATGGGTTTTGTTTTCAGGGAGAACTGCTTTGCCTACTTCTGAAATGATTGTTCTAGCCAAAGCAACTATTTTCTAACATGGGGCAAAAGACATTACTCTCTTTTATGATACAGCTGTGCCCCCCAGAAGTTGATATTGAATGTTTATGGAATCACTGAGGTGAGGAATTCTAGTCTACCAGAACACGGGTCAAAACCAGTTCAAAAGCTGAAGTGTGGAACCAAAACAGTATGTCTATCTCCTAAAGTAGAATGAAAGCAAGACGGGATAGGTGAGGCATAGTGCCCCACATCTAAGCTGTGCATCCTCAGATAATTTAATTTTCCCACGACCCTCCTCCAACCTAGCAAAATTGGGTACTGGCCAAACAGCATATGAACTGGCTGTGAGCCCAGGAGCGAGACAAGCACACGGGGTCTGCACGCTATGAGGGAAGCACAAAGCCAGAGTACAGACTGCCTGCAAGGGCTACCCATCCCTATAACTCTGGCAAGACAGGGGCCAGGAAGCCCTGGAAGTCGGTATCCTGCCATGTAGGAGTTCATGTGTACTGAGATTCCAAAATAAACCCCTTGAACTGATAGTGCAAGTACAGGTGAACAGAAGAAAGGTCTGGAAAAAAGAGAGGTAGAAAGGAGATTTCACTGAACAACCGAAGAGAATAATGTTCTCAAGACAGAGCTCATCACCACTGCCACTCCTGAGGGACAGGGGCAAAGCAAAGCTACTGCCAGGGGCCTGGAAACACCAGCCTGCAGCTGTGAAACTCAAAGGCAGCTGAAAGAAGGCAAATGATAGTGCCACTGGAAAGCAGTGCCACAGCATCTCAGCTGCTGGGACCAGACAGGAGAAAAAGAAAAACAAAGGGTGCCTTTTTTCCTGCCTTTCTTGGGCCCAACATCTTTTGAAGCTATTTTCCACTCCCTTTTGGCTCCCTCGTATCTTTTGTCATCTTGTGCCAGGTAGGGGAAAGAAAAACAAAGGGGACGAGGCCAAGCACAGCAGGTGAAGTGAGGTGTCTGCTGTGCCATGCTCCACTTTTTCCGTTTCCTAAGGGTGTGCTGATGCTTAAGTACAGTCCACTGACTGTCAGCAGTTGCCTCCTGCTTCCTGAATGATAGAATCAGAGCAAAGACAGTTCAAGGCTGTTACTTGATACAATGGGAGGAGGAAGATGTAGGACAATATTAATCAGCTGCTATTACTAAAATTTGTTGGCTCTTAACACATAGAAGAACCAGATGTAGTAAGATGCACTTTTTCTACAGCTATTCTTGAGAGCAGTGTGAAGACAGACTTGCCTTCTCATTTAATTGTGACCTACTTTTAATTAATTGTCATTACAGTTGCATTACAATTGCAACTGCAATTCTACATGAACTTCCAGTTCACTAAAGCTGTACCAGTTAATGAGACTTCCAATTACTACCCAGCCTAGATTCTGCAATCAAATTAACTGCTGGAATAAGCAGTGTTAAATGCAGAGAGAAAAATAAGTAAGAACTTTCCTGGACAAAGGCATATATTTTTTGCTGCATACCAGAAAATTCAAGCATGACTGTGGCTGTAAGGTGTGCAGTTCTGTTTCAGAATGTTAAAAAGTGCACTAATGATCTTGAAACACAGGACTTTCAGATAAATAGATGGAATTACTGCTCACATTAAGATATGTTCCATCAAAGCAACGAATGTAATGTAATGCAAGGAAAGATTACAACAAGAATAACAGTAATTCTGGCCGCACAAATTCACCCACTTTTCTGATTGTCTAGAACCAAACCAGACCACTGGGATTTCACTTTCTGTCTGGGTCTGACTAACACACAGCCTTCTCCACAGCAAGCATACATACATCTTCATTAAATTTCCAATTAAAATAAAATCAAAATGAGTTAAGGTTCGCTTCAATTTCATTTACATTTTAAAGATCTTGTTCTAAAAGATAATTGCAACTGACCTACCCAAAATAAAATCATACCCAAAGCAGCACTCATAAAGGAGAAAAATTGCGTATATAGTGACTATATAGAACTCTTACATAGCAATTAAACTCTGTAAAATTTGAAGCAAACACAAATGTGCAGATGAAAAGATCCAAGTGCGTAAGCAAATCAGGGTCTTAACATTCACTTGTCGGCACCTTCCAGCCTGTGTCTGTACAGAGGCACAGCCTCCCTTGCTTTAGGGAGCAGATGAGACATTCTCAAGATGTTGTCCTTCCCCACAAGGAGATGATGATGGGAAAGGAGGGCAGCCAAGGGGCTGAGCAGCAAAGCTCAGCCTGTTTTACCACTGAGCCCTTAGGCTGAGGGGAAAAGCCACATTCCCTGTGCATGCTGTGCAGTAACCAGGTGCATCACAGCTGAGCCCCAGCTTCTGTCAATACCTGCAGTGCTTTGAGGCCAGAAGGGCCCACACATCCAGTGAAAAGTATCTTTTGCACTGAAGGTTTATGGGATAGTTGGCTCAAGCAGGCAAAAAGGCAGCTGGTGACAAGCATTAGCAGCATGCTAACTAGACAAACTATAGCGGGGAGTGACAACAGCCAATTCCACCTTGGCAATCCGTAAGTTCTGGGGGAATGTGCTGAATTGCAATGAACCAGTGTACTGCTGGATAGTCGACACCAGCCAACCACTTAAAGCTGCATGACAGACTTCCCACCCAAATGAATACTGCCTTGATTTTGCTCTCTTTATTTCCTTTATTAAGGAAAAGAGACCAAGATTATGAATCTCACCTAAGAGTGATGTGAGCAGCACCAGCAACGTCTCAGTATCTTCTCCAAAGCATGAGGCCGAACTTGTGGTGCTTTCACTATAGTTCCACAGGGTTTTGCATATCAAACAAGCCAGCTGCCAATCTGATGGCCCAAAGTCTTGTAAACAGTCAACTAACCTGTTGGTATAAAAAAAAACCCCAGTGTTTTGCTCCATGTAGTTTTCCTCTAAGCCCTTCAAAATCTGGTAGTCTAAAAATGTATGCAGACTCCATGAAAGTTTGCAGGAAAATTCTCTATTAATAAACTTAAGATGCTACTTTGTCCCTCAGTAACTTCTCCTTTCCATTTAGTCTAGCTCCCTAGGATGTGCTTTTTGAATGTGCTTTTTGTCTACACATATGTGCATTTGCCTGCCTGCATCTGTCTATCCCCCAGAACATTTTAACCCAACTGAGCAACTCCAATCACACACATCACAAATGTAACCATTTCAGAGACACTAAAATTCTATCAGATTTCATGACTATCTGTAACCGTCCCAAATCCATGGCTACCAGTAGAGCAGAGACTGCAATGGGAGCCGAACCTCATGAGCTGCCAAGAATTCATCTGCAACAGACAGTATGAATGCAGAAAAAGCTTTGGTCAGAATATCCAGTTTATTACACATCAGAGGATCTGACCAGAAGACAAATCCAAAGGAATTTACTACTTCCATGACTCCCAGAATTACCTTTAACATTCAGCGAAGCCTGACTGTTCTGCAGATCTTGCCCTTTATTGTATTTCCTCAACATGTGCTCCTCCCCTCCACTGGGAATGCCAGTTTTATTAAGGACCATTAGGTTCTTGACCTTTCTCCCAGTCTCATTTCCTTGCAAGTACCAAATGCAGGCTAGATGATAAGCAGGACTCTGAAATTAAGCTGTAACTTTTCTGCCTGCACCAGCTATCCAGAATTCCCATTACCAAACAGCAGTGTTCACAAGTCCCAGGGCAGCAGAAGTAAATGTTTTCACTTGCTGTCCCTAGTGAGCTCTCATAATAGTAACCCTTCACTGCTGCTCTCTTCCCCAACCCTATGACCTTCTCTTTCTACTTCACTGTGAGATTTATAATCTGGTGATTAGTAAAGGGAACACAGAATAACTATTACATTTGGGTATGGATGAAAATAGCAGTAACTGAAAAGCAACCAAAAGAGGTTTGCTCTTTCTCTCCTCTCTGAAGGCAGTCACTGTGGAAGACCGGGAGGCATACAATGAAAAGCCAAATGGATTTGCCCTATTACTTTTTTTTTAAGTTTAACTCTCTGATGAGACTAATTCCATGTTTTATTAGGGCCACCATATATTAATACAATAACCTCATTTTCAAAAATCCACAGAGCCAGTTTGGCATAGTCAGGGTGACCTCCTTAACAATCACTTCCAAATTCTCTAGATTTATTTCGTAATGTTTCTTTTTCCACCTTCCTGCTTCACGAATCTTCAGAGAGAGTACAGAAAATTCTATATTCTACAGAATATAAATCTCTCACATTTATTATTCATTTGCCTCTAGCATTTTTATTCTTCTTTTTCAGCTTTATATTTGACCTGGTAACTAGAACATGGGAAGGGAGGATGAGCATACTATGCATAGTTCATATTGTAATAAAAAGTAATTATATGATGTATGAACAAGAAAGCATTTCAAAGTTAGGCATATGGTTGCATAAACGTATCAACTACTTTACAAGCACAGAGACATGATCATTCACGTTGCTCCAATTAAGCTGGATCCGCTATTATCTGAACATCAAGGCCACAAGTGTTCCATCCACAGTGGGTTTTCAAGACCTAATACCTCTTATAACACAAGTGCCTTAACCTTGAGTTATTCTGCTGAGCATGGCTACATCAGGTAGTTTTCCCTACTATACTAAGTAGTTACAAAAATTGCCAGTGACCATATGGTATATCCTAGTTCCTGAAGTAATCTTCACGCTTACAACAGATGATACACATTAATGGTGCCTATTAACTGTAGCCCACATAGGATCCAGTTAAGTCAAGCATGAGCCATGCCTTAGTTGCTTTGTTGTATGGTACTCTCCCCTCTGCTGTATCAATCAGGAGGATTATTGGGAGATTTATTCTATGGGGTTTGGCTCTGCGTAGGCTAAACCATTCTAATACTTTTGAAAAAAAACATAGGAAAAAAGATGAAAGGCTCTTGAAGAATGTTAGATGCTGACGACTTACGTAGTATATGTCTGTATTAGAAGTTATTTGCCCCAGTAAAAAACGAATCTGATTGAAACTCTTCAGCCAAACTAGTCAAAATTGCCTTTTTCATAAACATAATCAGGAACTTACTTTCCAATTCCTCCTTCCTCCATCAGAAATGCTCGTTTGTTCTTATCTACTGTGAGATTGAGCAGAACTCCACAGGCAAAAAAACAGACATCTTGCTTTTTGGCATCAAGCAAAGCAATCATGAACTTGTGTACTGTATTGTAAAGGAGGAGACAGTATTACTGGAAAGATGGCATTACAACATCCTTATTAAACACGTATACTCAGAAAGCAGTCAAATGCAGGGTGCCCTACCCAAAAATTTAACCTTGTAGCATACTACTGTGACATTTGTAGAGTAGGCACACAACCCATTCTAACAGTCATGATTATTTCATCATGCTGAACACCAGTTACCTTCAATACAACACATACAGAGTCATATAGTTATAAAAATACACTGACACAATGTGAAAACACAATCAGAAGAGGTTAAATCGACAAAATTAATTACAGCTTATTTCTCAAAAGTATGACCCTCCTTTCAATTCCAGTCAGCAGAAACTGCTGGGATTCGGCATTTGGTACTCCCAGAGGGACATTCTCACCTCTGCAAGTGGCCAGGTTGCCCTACACTGCACCAAGCCCAGCTGGAAGTGCTGCAGCCCGGAGCTCCTGCAGGTGACAGGCAAGAATCAGACACTGGACATGCAGCATCTTGCAGCACTTGCTGACACTGAACTCAGGAGGCAGTGGAAGACAACACCAGCAAGGGAGTCAGTCTTGCCTAATGGAGAGGCAGCCTCTCAGCTGTTCCTCAGCTTGGCACATTGATACCACAGTCCTAGTTGGAAAACTTAGTTCTTTGCCTGAGAGCTCATCAGCAACCAGTTATTGTCAATTTGCCCTTTGCAAATACCTTCTCCTCCAAAGTCAGTAATACGTCCACCCTTCAAAGAAGGAGTTGTGTATTGTTGTGTATCACCTCAATTTCAGCACTGACAGGTACGTAGATACAAAAACATTTACATTGAACTGGTGTTTAATTAAACTTATGACGCACCCTCTATGGATAGCAAGCAGTTGCCATTTTTCCCAAAGCTCCTCAGATACTCAAAAGCAAAGAGGCTTGAGAAGACTTGTATCCTACTCCACCCAGAGGCAAACAGATCTCTTTGTTGAGACAGTTGAACATCTTAAATGCATATTACGAAGTGCTAACAAGCTGTTGAACTGTGATTATGAGCTTAAATGAGAATTTAGTTGGATTTTCATTTATATCATACCACTACTAACCTGTAGGATTTGAAAAACTGAAGGAGAAAGGGCACCATGGTGTATTTTTCCTCCTCCACTATTTCCGTTCTAATGAAACTGAAATAAAATGGTGTTTATAATGACTGTGATTGGATTCTAACATTTGCCTGATTTGCAAAATATCAGAGAAGATTGCTTCTACCCTTGAACTAAGACAGCTTATTAACAATCTTCCCTTTTTTAGAACTATGGACATTTAAAAACAGGACTCCTACAAATGCAAAAGTAACTCACTCTTTTTCTGTATGATGAAGTCACAGATCTCATGATACTGGGAAAGATTGCCAAATGCTCTGACAGCCTCCACAACTCCATCCATACTGTTGCTCATTAACAGCCTTAAAAGCACTATTGGTTTGAAGAAAAATAAAAAAAAAATTAGTTGTATATCACAAACATGTGCTTGACTTTTTATCAATAAATACAAAACACAAACAGTAACAGCAATAAATGTAAGAAATGGGAACAGTTATGTATCACCTGGTTGCAGTGAAGGGGGTGAGCTGATGGTAGAACAAGAGCTAAATTGTGTAGGGCTTTGAAGATTAGACAAAGAGCTGCAATATGGGGCTAAACGCAAAGGAACAAATGGTGAGTTATGAAGACAAGCCTACACGCAGTGGTAATAATGGGAGCCAGTTTTGCTATACAGTTTTGAGTGGGCTTATGTGAAAATCCAGGAAGACAAAGAAGAAAAAAAATGTTGTAATATATAAGAGAATTGATTTAGATCCTGAACAGATGGTCTTATGGTGCAATGTCTCCTAAAACTCAAATTATTCTCTGATTTTAGCTCAATGCTCCTATAACAAGCAAATACATTTTCTCTGAACAGAGCTACTTAATATTGCCCCTGGTCTGAAGCATTTACTTGCTTGCTGCTTTTCTCCTTAGTGGTTACACATATGACTAGTGTATGTCTTCATATGTCTTCAGCAGATAGAATAAGACCTTCAGTACTTCCTAGGAACAGCTACTATCATGTAGGTTTTTGATGCACAGCAAAGGAGCAGTGTCAGAGGAGTTACATTTATCAGTCTCCTATGAGCATGAAGTGAACCACTGAAACCAGTTCATAGTGTGAATGACTCAAATCAGTCAACCTTTAACTCTTCTACCATAGAAAAGTGAGAGAAAGAAAAATCCTAGGAAAAGACGTTGGCTTCGCTCCCGTTATTTCCATCTTTGAATGTTGCAATACTGAACATGCCTTGAACTTGTCTTAAAGAGACATCTGAAATGGTTCCTTTTTTCTCTTTGGGATCCACCATTTGTATCAAACAGCAAGCATTCTCAAAATGTCTCCTGGAGGAGGAAGCCTGCTGGTCTCCCATCAACAGGCTTTCTCTCTCCTCAGTTCAGGCAGAGAAAAGTGAGGGGGCTGTTTCCACAGGCTAACAATAAAAACAGGAGAGGGAGAGCACATGGGGCAGGCAGAGAAGTCATTTGTTTCCACATTTCTCCAACTAGCAATGAGAGACAGTTGGCTTAGGGGTGATAAAATGACTCATGACAGAACAGCAGAATGTTACCTAAAGAGAATCTGATGTCTACCAGTCAGGGCACTAGGTTGACAGAATATTTTTTTTCTACTCTTCATGCTACCTGTTGTGCAAATTCCAGGCTCCATCTCTCCCCCATGTTTTGTCTATTTAGAGAGAAAGATATGCAAGACATAGACTCTACCTTCTGTATAACAGTAACACGAGTCCCAGAACTCAGATGCAGTTCCTGCACATCACTAAAATACGACTGTTGTCTACTACTGTCAGAGGGGAGAGAATAACACAACTCCTGTACTGCCAATGGATTTATAAGCCAGAAATAGACATAAATCAGATTTTGCAGGTCTAGAAGATACTAAGAAGAAAAAAAACCCAAAACTTTTACTATACTCTGATAAGAAGTAAAAAGCAACATGTTTATTTTGGCACAGGCATATGGGTTTTGAACAAGCCTAGCAAAAATTGCTAAACAGAAAACAATATGGCAAATTCCTTTCAGGAAGAAGGGGTTTTGTCAACAACTTAAGCTATTTTCAGACAAGTCATAGAACTATGTTCCAAAAGAATGAAAAATCATTATGGGAAGAGTTTAGCCCTATGAAGTTTATATTCATGCAATATGATACCACAAAACACTAGCAGCGTCTTTATTTCCTGTACTGTCAAAATATTTTCACTTTCAAAAACCTATACATAAAGTACTAATTTAAAAGTCCTTACTTTCAGCAATGTGTAGCTTTTTGTCTTGAACAGCAGAACTCTTCACTTTGTAGTAGGATAAATTGTTGATTGTTATTGCAGCATTGATGACCAACTCCTCACACTCATCAACTGACTTGTATTCTGAGAGTGAAAAAAAAACCCAACAAACATGAACATACGCATATGCAGATGCACAGAGATGAGTCTAATTTAGCTTAGAATTAGCTTAATCTCAGAAGCAAGCTAAATCATAGTTTACAGGGCCACTATTACAGACAACTATTCTGTTTTGCAGTAACATGGCAGAAGCTAATAGGAAGAGCTGATCCAAAAATGGCAATATAAAGTCACTCTTTCCAACTCTTAATCTGCAGAAATCATTGTGACTAAGGCAACATGGTTTAGAATCTACTTAGTTAAGACATTTTACAGATTCTATTTGCTATTTTAAGATGGAACTGAGGAGAATCCACATGCAGAAATAGGCCTGTGTGATAGTCACAGACAATACTAAGGACTATACTGAAGTGTCAATGAAAAATTGGAGAAAAAAAAATATCAGTTTTTGAAAGATTCTTTCTCTCAGAGTTCCTAACAGAATGTTAACCAGTATAAAGACTACATCAGCAAGTCTGAAAGTCATGTATACCAATTTATCTGAGGTTTCTGGCCTCAGAAATCAAGAGTGAAGGAAATAAAAAGAAGGTTAAGCTCATAGGCAGAGAGAACATTTGGTAGTAAACCAATACAGTGCTCAAGAAGAGGGGAGGGTGGCAGAGAAAAGCTCTGAGGCTCAAAAGCACTTACACAATGATTAACACAGTTCCAATGCAGGAAGCTCCTACATGGATTAAGACAGAACAGACAAAATTGTAAATCTGCCTTCTTTAACTCACCATGTCTGGTGGTTAAGACTTGTAAGCTAGCATATAATAAGGTTGATTGTCTTTACATAATATTTAATGCTCTCGTCTCATCCTAAAATACACTAAGTTATTTGTGATGTATCTTGTCACTGCTAAAATATGGGGAGAAAAGGCTACACAGTCCTAGCCTGTAATTAGATTTACAATGGGATCAGTAAGTGGTAAAGGAACTGCAGTTCTAAGCCCCCGTTTGTGGGGAAAGGGCCACTTTCTTCTGAAAGAAGATAAAGGTTGGAAATTTGAAAAAGAAGAAAAAATAAGAAGAGGCTGAAAGTTATGGGTACAGGGAACAAAAAGAATACTTAATCCAGAACAGTCACAAAACCTGCAAACCTGAAAAAACCCAAACCCATTACCAAACACATCAATGTAGCACCTGTTAAGAACAGACTTCCCTTACATATGAACTCTGAGAGGTGCATTTAAAGTAAAATTTGTTTTCTCCTCCTTAATGATCGTATCTGCAAATCTAATCACAAAATTGAACACTTCTACAACATCTTTCCCCAGAAACTGAAAAGTCAGTAGCAAAGCAGCAATGCCTCCACTGTCTCAAACAGGCTTTCTACATAAAACAGGTTATGAATATCAGCAGATTGACTTTGTTATTTAGCAATGGAACCAATTTAGTTATGGATCAATTTGTGCGTTGATCCATAGTGAAAAGTGATCCAAGAAGGTCAAGTAGAAAAATTCTAAACTCTTCTTACAGACTGAACAAAGGTTACAAACACAACATAGATTTTATTACCTAGTACTGTAACAAGCAATTCTACAACGTGATGGGCAACTGCCAGAGCTGCTCCTATGCTGGGATGAACAGAGACATTGGCCAGCACTCTTATCAGTTTTATCAGAACATCTTCTGCTTCTGAAGGATGCTTTGGTTGTTTTTTTTCTTCCCTTCCTTTTCCTTGGTACCATTTCTGTGTATTCAAATCAAGTTCATGGTAGGTTTGGAATAATGATATCAAGGTGTTAATGCTTCCTTTTTCTTGAAAAAATTGCTCACGGGGCTGGTCATTCTTTGCTGTTAAATTACCAAGAATGAAGAGAATACGGATAACCAAATCCTGCAATAAAACAAACCATATTACACAGAGCACATCAGAAGCTATTAGCTGCTTAAAAAGAAGATACTACTTAATTTGCTTCACAATTCACTTAGTAACAAGTCCAGAACAAGTGAAGGAATGCCAAATACAGCAACTAGAAATAATTTTTATGCTATTTTCCATAAACTGGTTTACAGAAGAAACCAAAAACATCTGACAGAACTAATATAGAATTGGGGTAGATACTAATGGGATATACTTAGCATAGGTCATCTATTTTTACCAAGCCCACAGTAATCCTAAAACATCTTAAACCAGCACTTTATATAACTAGAATAATAATATGGGCCAGACCTTATTAATCTTTCAAGTAAGCAAGTGTCAGTTGGGATGGCCAAAGACCATGACCTTCTCTTCTCTAGTCCTGTTACCCACTGTAGAGGTTAAACTGCTTCCCCTTGATTTATTAAATCCATGTTAGCTCTTACTCATTTTCCTTGTTAAGTCTTACAGATAGCTGAATCATTTGTTCCAGATTTTTACCAGAAATGTAATCTAAATTGACTGGTTTGTTGGACCCCAACTTCTCCTCTTTCCTCTTTTAAAGACAGGAGCCCTACAACCTTGCAATCCTACACAACTTTACAAGAATCCCAGAGACATTACCCTTTCTGTACTTTTATAGCATCAAAGGGTAAATTTCATCAGGCCTAGCTGGTTTGAAGACACTTAATTATGCTCCAGCTCATTTTCTAGTGATAAAAGAACTCAGGCTGAAGTAGAGATTAACCATTTGATCATACTTAACCCCTTCAGAAAAAGAAGCAAAAAAAGGCATTCCACACTTCACTATTCACAGTGGCATCTATCAATAACCATCTGAACACTGCAGCAATTATTTCCTTATTTTCTTCTCTCAATTAATGTACCATACAAAGCTTTTGTGTTTCTTTCTATGTCCCTTTCAAGTTGCATCTCATTTTGTACTTTTTTTTTCTGATGATGATTTTATGTGTTCTTGCTACCCTTTTATTCTTACAATTGCTAAATGAGACCTATTTCTATTTTTGTATGGTATCTCGATCTAATGATTTAACCAAGCTGCTCTCTTAAAGCACTTTCTATCTCTGCCCTTCAGTGGAATACACAATTACATCTCTTGTTGCTTCATTTGGGACATGAATACTGAGAAACAGTATTCAACAACATGCCCATCTTTTTCTTACCCACCTGTACAGAAGAAAAAAACTGAAATTTTGAAGTCTGAACTGACCTAAGTATAAACTTATAAGTTTATAAACATTTGTAAACTTGTAAGTATAAACATTTGCTCTGTCACTTGCATCAAAACCTGCTCATTTCCCAAAAGAAAAGTCCATAGCTTTATTTTAACAGTACAGGTAAAGTAACAACATTTCTTCAAGTACAGCACAGACATCTACTCTCAGATGTTAAAGTGCTGTACTTGCACTAACCTAGAATTTCACTAAACAATTCACATGCTGGTTTTCTTCAAATATAATTATATCGACAGATATTCTAATCCTCCCTGGTATTAACAACGTAACTTAACCAGGCACAGCCTAACTTGTTGAAGTATAGATACTAATATTGAAGGAAAAAAGAGATGTGTCAGCAGTGAATCCTTCTTTCATACATGCCTTTATCAATGTTTCAGGTCTTAAGCCTCTGCCACAAGACATCGGCAATAACATCCTCTTAGGTGAGACAAGGAGGCACAAAAGCACAGAATGTAATCAGTTCTAAGTAACGTTAAGTTTGATGGCTTTGTAATAGAAAATAACTGAGATGCTTGAAGATAAACTGTTCCAGTTGACATAGTTTTAGGCCCTTAAGACATTAGTACAAAAAGTGTAAGAAAAACAGGATAGAAAAACAGGACCTGGGGATGGGGAGTATCTGGGACTAGCAGATGTCCAGGGTGGGAGCAGTTAAACTAACTGATAAGTCGAACAGGATAATTGCTATGTCTGTAATGTTAATTAAGCTGGTGCTTCAAAGGCTGCCAGAAGCTACGAAGATTGTTGGAAGAAGTAAACGACCCTCAGAGACCACCACCACATTTGTGTACGCATGCGGGAAACTTTCTGGAAAACGATGTGATTCATATGTAGCCTCATGAATATGTATGTGTGCCCACTGACTATATAATGATGGCTTGTGTGGCAATACAGTGACACATGTTAGGAGGAGCTATCCCCCATGTCTCCTGGTGCTGCAATAAAGAATACCTGCTTGTCAACTTGAAAACTTCGTTGGCGAGTTTGTTCCTGGAGTTTTCTCCAAATCACAGGGTCAAGAAGATGAATGCCATCCCTGAATTTGAGAAGCAGGGAGTCGCCTAAGTAAGGAAAAGTTTCTCACTTTCCTGTATTTAATACGATCATTCCACAGGACCCACTTTTATTTTTTTTTTACTAGGAACCATATTTTTGCTAGCATCTAAATGTCATCGACACAAATTTCTATGAACATTCTTACTGACTAACCACTAACAGCTTTCACCTTTGCTGGCACAACCCCCAATTCACAAAGGATGTAAGAATTTGAAACAAACAACTGATGAATCAGAAGAAAGAACTGAAAAGAGCAGGCAGTCTAGTTTGACTCGTTTATATTGACTTTCTAATTTTGGTCAAAACAGTATCAGCCCAGCAACAGCTCTACCCAATCAGAAGACAGACAAACAGGTACTGTACAGCAATCAACTGATATTTTGAGAAGTGTGATCTCAACTGTGCTTTCCACCTACAGGCTAGCAAAACAAACTTACAAAGTACTTCTTTTTAGCTAAGCACATCCAATTTTAATAGCACATTACCAAAGCTTCATTATCTTGCAGTGAAAATTTAACTTGCAGAGTCAAAGACAAACTTCTCCTGAGTAGTATAATACTTAAAGTCTTGTATTATTTTGGCTATTTTTTTTTTTTTTTAATGCTCATTAGTAAGCACTACAAGAGTAAGAAACACCAGCTTAGAATTGCTGTGTAAAGAAATACACGTAAAGATGAACGGTATTCTGAAACTGCTTGCAAGACTAAACCTGTACAAGGCCTATAGGCCTTTCTGTACATAATGAAACAAATCAGTACAATAAATGAGATTATTATACATCTCTAAATGTTTGGAATATTAACTGCATATGGAATTTCAGACATTCTTGCATACTTACAGACAACTGACATTTATCACATTAATTTATATAATTTGGAGGTTTTAACATGTAGAGCATTAAAGACAAATTAGATTAAAGATAGGAATTACACTCAGCCATTTCATCTTTTTATAAGGAGGCAGTCATGCGAGACATGCTGTCCAAAGTGTGCGCCCAAACCTGACTGGAAGGTTATATATGAGACCACATAGTTTCACTTATACAAATTTGAAGAAACAAGTCAAGAAGAGCTTGAGAAGGAGAACTAATTTTTTTCTTTGCTTCCAACCTGTGAAGCCACTGTGATATTTTTGTTTTTAAAGTGGTAATGGCACCATATATTTCATCAGCATTTAATTCCTATGTTTCTGACAACTGGAACATATACATTTGATCACTGAAATGAAAGACTTCTTTGCTTATCTACTTTAAAAATCTGTTCCTTGCACTGCCTAAGTAGCTAAGGTACCCAGTGTACTTGCTGAGTCACAGAACTTGACAGCAGTTTATATTGGCAATTGAAAGTGTACCTGCCTTTCAGTGTAAAGCATGATGAACAGAGATACAAATAATACAGGTTTGCTTCTCAGCAGGAAAGGAAAGCCAATTAGGTCAGTGATTTCTAACTAAAACAAGAGAAATAAGAGAAGGGAGTCCATTCTAGAATTTGTGCAAGTTAGCCAAGTACCTGTTGTTAGTCTGGTTAATTGTTAGTCCGTTGTTCGTTGTTAGGGTGGCTGGACCCTCAAGAGGGGAGGAGTAGTGTGAAAAAGAAAAATATTCATATGCCAGCAGCTGAGTTCCTATTGAATCTCCATCTCCAAATCAACTGTGTTTCCTGTGTTACACAACCTTCAATGGAGGTAGTCAAAATTCAGTATGAACTGCTTCTCATTCAAATCTAATTTACACTTCATTTTCAAACTTGTATTTCTGCTTTATTGTGTACCTTGGAAAGAAAATTTGAGAGTTTTCTTTGCAGGATCTGATAGTCTGCTTACAGACAAAATAACAGTAGTTATGGCATCCTGGAGCTAATCTTTTACAAACACAGTTAGGATTCATCTTGAAGTGACAAACTGGCTGTGAAAATTCCTGGTCAAGTCCAGAAATAACAAATGAGTCAAAATGAAACTCAGTTTCAAGAAGAAAAGAGGAGGGGTGGAGCAGGGCGTAGAATACATTGGAAGTATCAAAAACGAATGACGTTCTTGACTGAGGGACCTGAAATAAGGAGCAGAGAGAAGCTTGTCCACAGTGATAGCAGGGAGTACTTTGCCAGTAAATTACTCTCTCCCCTGCAAATCTGAATGAATTTGAGAAGAGGCCATTACTAGAATATAGTTATAGCTTGGTGTATCACATACCACAATTAAGACCCTACCCTATAATTTCATACACCCCCAAAATATAATCTGTTTAGTTAGACTTTTCAGAAAGGGGTTCAACGGCACTTAGTGATTTTTACCAATGAAGAACTTCGTGCACTTACGTTTGTTTGAGGACATGTGGAGATGAAGAAAAGCAAGCAAACTGTCACCAAAACATTTGAAGAAAAGCAATATACATTCTCTAAAAACACATTTCAGAAATCACAAATTGAAAAAGAAGTTGGAAACTGTTATCTCCCCATAGTATTGCTTGAGTGATTACTGATCTTCCTCATTAAAATCATTATTCTTATTGCTAGTTTAAATTTGCACAGCTTCAGCCACTCTCTCTTTTTCCCTTTTTTCCTATAGAATGGTCTACTAATAGAAACGTCTACCTTGTGCATTCTACTAATAGACAGCTTGCTAATGGTCTGACTTTTGTCATTGATAAATTAATTTGCTCAAACC